AAATATAACAACAGTAGCTGCCGAAAAAACGGCTGCGGCTTCATACTTTCAGTGATGTCCATTTCTTCCGGAACGTCATTCTGACTGTCCCGTTCGACCATGTGGTTCATAATACGGGGCAAAGGACTCGTTTTTGACTTTCTGTTCTTGTTTCGTGTGCCAAATGGAGTGGCGGTGCGTTTGTGTTCCGATTTTTTGTCGGCCAAAACGAACTTGACTGGCTTGCTCAGTGTACGCCCAATTTCTGCGACCGTCAGTCACAACGGCACGTGCGTCGAATGATGTACACGGCGATTTTTCGGCTGGCGTGGGGCGTCAGTAACTGACTCCAAAAAACTGTACATTAAATAATAAATACCGCGGACACCGCGATATGCAGTTCCAATTTTGCGTCGGTAACGACGGCGGCGGACGTTCGTTCACGTTACACGGGTTCGGTGCGGAAACGGAATAACAAACAAGATGGCCGTACGTGAGCACCGACACCGTGCCATACATCATGTCAGTCTTGCGGAAGGTACATTGGAACGGTCAGTGCGCCCCAAAATGACTGTGATAACGACTGGTAGGGTACTAGGGTGGGCGCCGGACGGTGGACGATGAAATGACGAGCCACGAACTCGGAAGATGCCGGCGTACGTCGCGTACGAATGTACGATGAACATTTTAACATTTTTAACCGTCTGACGGTCTGACCTTTTTTACTTTTTTGATCTCCGCGTGTTACAACTCTCAACTCTGTAAATACTGTTTGTTTGTCTATAGTACGACTGTACAAGCTATGGTATTACCTACTATCTTTCTTGGTGTGTAACACAGACCATAACGATGTTTTTCACCACTCGTACCTAAAAATCATTATATACTTATATACTTATAGCGTATCTTACTATCTTAGTTGATGCCTAAATATGGCAATTGGCATATAATATTAATAGATACAAAATATAGTATTTGTCGCTTGTAGTTATTTGTGTCGGTGATTATATGTATATCACTTATAGGTTTAAGTCTTGTAGTATCATACCGAATAGGTATATCTTAATCGGTGAATATTATAGGACATTTATTATTGTCCCTATACAAAGTAAAATAATTCAAAAACTATACGTTTAACTTTGATTTTGACACTTCAATATTTTCTGAAAAATTATAATTTTAAAAACCAAATCCCAATAATCATTTTTGAATAAATGTATTAATAAATTAAAAAATTGAGGGGCATGCTTGGTGAAACACGTATAGTTTCATAACGGACGTGGAAATTTCCACCTCATTAAATTATAAGTATAACTATTAATACTATTTAAGTTTTTAACACTGTTTGCACCTGTCTTAAATCCTTCCCCGTTATCGTGGATATTGATCATGTAGAGCAATTATTTATGAATTTATCAAAGGGTTCTTTCAAATTATTGATTGGTGCTGTTTATTTACCTCCAAGCTCTTCATTTCCGTTACATACAAGCCCACACTTCCACAGTAGAGAAAGTAATATCCTCTTCCGACCCATCACATATCTTGCTGTGCTGTGTTTTCACATAAATTGGACTAGCAATATCTCACTGTCTCAGGCAAGGATTTTTAGGTTTTAGCAACTTATCCACAGTGTACCATCTTGTAGACTCTTTCTCCTTTCTTAACCTCTTCCAACTCAATCAGGTACATAACTCTCATGGTGGCCATCCACCATTATCTATTAAATATCGTCTGGAGTTTTATGATCCTCAGCCAACTACCCACTCATTTCGTGACTTTAAATCTGATGATTATACTGCTATGTTTCATTTTCTTTGTTCGTTTGGTTCGGAAGATACCTTCTCGTTGCTCGGCCTAGAAGAATCTGCATCGTTATTTAATTAATTAATTTGCTGAAATAAATGCCTAAGTTGGCTTAAGTATAGAATAATAAATTAGGAACAAAATAATAACATAATAGCTGAATCTTAAATGTACCGTCTATGTAAGTTACAAAGCCAGTTAACCCATAATACTACATGTCAAGTCCGGATTCATTTCCCAGCCTCAATATTCCATCAAAGGGATTATTATGCCCATAATTAGTACGGTGGGTTTTGGTGTAAACAGTAGGACATGTTCTCCAGCTATATTGAGGAACATTGAAAGAAATACGTTCTAAAAGAAAGGAACAAATAATTTTTCCAATTATTAATCAAGAAAGGAAGGAAAGCTGACATATCCTTCCTCTCTAAATTTTTTTTACAGAGCAGTAGACCATAGATTAAGATTAAGCGTGTTTTGAATATCAATTAAATTATAGTAGACATCAATATTTAATATTAATTTAAAACCAATGAAACGTAAAAATCTTGTTTGTACTCTTTCAATTTTTTCAGTATAGCAAGATGAGGATGGACAGCATACGGTAGACCCATATTCTAATATACACCGGATAAGAGAACAGTATTAAAGACACTCTTCTTTTGATGCCATTAAATAAACATTACTTTTCTTTACCTTGAAAGAATAATATTTGATAAGATCTATAAAAAATTAAAAAACACTAGTTCTCCCATAGACTACCCAATATTTTCCGACATACAAGCCAAATGTAAACAACGTTCTAGCTCTAACTACTGTGCCTATATCAGGCAAACAGAAAAGGCATTATTATCGTCTCCTTCTAGGTTCTGGAGTTATATTCAGAATTTTAAGCAAGCACCCCAAATACCTCGGACCTTCAATGTCAAAAATGTCTCCTCCAGTTCTCACAATGCATCTGCTAAATGCTAATCTTTTTGCTTCTTATTTTTCTTCCACATACAACCATTCACCGTCAATACTACAATATCCATCTTTTTTCCTCAGACAGTTGCCTTTTGATCTACCATACAACATACGTTTTTCCTCTAAAGATGTCAACGTTCTCCTTGGCTGGCTCAGTAATTCCATCTTTAATGGAACTGACGGAATTTCCGCTCGCTGCTTATATAACTTCCGTCATTCAATCACTAACCCTGGATTTTTGTTATTTAGTCGCTCTCAATCTGAAGGCACTTTTCCATCCATTCTTGAAAATTTGTTTTGTAACACCAGTTCTCAAGGCAAGTGACCCTTCTGATTTTACAAACTTAATACCAAATTCCACATTTAGCCAAAATCATTGAGTCTCTAGTTTACTCTAATCTTAAAAGAAGTTTAAATCATATGATTCTAGATGAACAGCATGGTTCAGACCTAGAAAGTCTATGGAGACTACTCACTAGCAATGTTGCTTTTATTACTTACTTGCTTGATAATGTTAAAAGGGTGGTCAGGTTGGTGTAGTCTTTACAGACTTCAAAAAAGCATTTGATACTGTTGACCATGGCCTCCTTATCAATGAGCTAGACCTGCTAGGTAAAGGTGATCCCTTCTCTCATGATTGTGTTCTTACCTTTCTAATAGACAGCAGTTTGTAAAGGTTAATAATTGTAAGTCATCCTTAGCTAATATATCCTCTGGTGTCCTCCAAGGAGGTCACCTTAGTCCCTTACTTTTTATCTTGTTCGTCAACTCAATCAGTATATCAATCACCAAGGCTAAACAATGATATAATAATTTCTTTAGTTTAGGAATCATGAAGTAATTTTATTTGCATTGGTAGTATACTTGAAACAGTAAATGATCATATTTTAATTAAAACATGTTTAAATCAGTAAAATCTCATTATGTCATATTGTCTGACTGTTATTTTATACTACAGTAAAAATAAAAAATAAAACAATTAAGAGAAAGAAATATTACTTTTATATTATTCAGCATGATTTATTTAAAATATACATAGCATGAACATCAATCAGGATTAAAAAATAATAAACTATGAGTAAATAATGAATAGCATTTAGATTAAAACTCGCTATATCGTCTTTAGAGTATGGTTGATTGATAAATTATAATAAACAGGCTTAGTTATTGAGAATTGCAAAGTAGCAAAAAATTATATTTAAAAAAAAAAATAGGTATAAATAGGTATAAAAATGAATGAGAAATAGTTAAGTACTTATAATATTAAAACATTCATTATAAAAGTCTGAAATCCATACCTGTCAATATAATATAATAATCACATCAATAATAACTAAAACTAGATAGTAAACACAATAATTGAAATTATAATGATTTATGCAAACTTGCATAAAACTGGAGCTATTTCACAAAATATCACAGTAATTAAAATGTTGTCTACTTTTTTATGTAGAAAAAAATAGTAATGAAAATATCTGGGTAGTTATAGTTAATCTATACTTTAATGATTTAATGAATATGGTTAATTTACCATAAACCACTAATATATAAAACAATAAAAGGTACTTATCTGCTATCCCAATTACCATGAGTTTCAATTCTGTTATCTCAACTACCACCCCATGCCTAGACTATACATGGTCACAATTCCATAAGTATTCCGTTAGTATTCACTATTAATTTAAATAATAATAGATATTCAGAATTTGCCGAAAAATTTCAAATTATTTAGTTATATCTGGAGAAAGAACATAGATGGAGAGCCACTTGATAATCTGGTGAAAAGTATTTCAAAATCAATATTTTAAAATACAATTTTAGACATTATTTATTATTATTTAACTTTTCACTGCAGTGATAATTTTTTTAATAGTTTTTAGATGGTCATTTTATGTTGTATATTACAGTACTTATTCACAACATCAGCGGGAGTCGAGATATGAGATAAGTACCCAATACAAATTAACTGTCAATAAAAAGTATATAATAATTAATATTTTATAGTGGTTTATATCTTCGATATATTTATTATCTTTTTTGGTAGTATCAGAATTATATAAGAATAATGAACTGACTGTCTTGATATAATAATAATAATAATAATAATAACAATAAAAATTTAAATAAAAAACATTAATTATAACAGCATTGTGGTTGAACAAAAATTACATTAATATTTAAAACTAGGTGTAGTAAAGTAAATAGGTAAAAATTAAATTAACAGTAGGACAAGGATTATAATAAGTGGTAAGTGGTATTAAAAATTGCACATTTATATTTTATTTTGACTAGACAAAATTACTTTAGTATGGTTAAATATCTATAAAAATTAAAAAAAAAATAATTACAAAAGAAAGCACCACAGACAGTCAAGCAAATTTAATATAGCTGATCATTTTACCTTTTACATGCAGTCTTTTAGTGCGTGTTTTATATGTCATTTGACTTCTTTATAGTTAATCATTTTTGATTAATAAAAATGATTAATTATTTGATCCCCCTTTAGATATTATTCTACAAACTAAATATATAGTACCCTTTTAAGAAGATTTTATCACTTTTTGCCTATTTTTAGGCTTATTAGTTTTTTGTTATTGTACGTTACACACAGCAGACGTTCCCACACGTTTGTCCATACTTGCTGCTCGTCTTTTGATTGCTTCCAAGTAAACATCACGATTAAACTGTCCAGCAGCTAAAGGCATACTGAAATATATTTAAATATTAATTGTATAGTTAAATATTTCTAAATATATTTTAATTCTTACGTATCAATACCAGGCCTAATTGAACACTTGTAAAGACCCCAAACTGGTTTATGGTCAGAAGTACATACTGTTGGAACTGAACAGTAAGTTAAACATTCAATACTAGATGAAGTACATGTGGATCCTGCAAAAATGAATTTTCTTATAAAACAAAAAAATAAAATAAAAAATGATCAATAACTGATTTGGAAAAATGGACAAATAATTTAAAAACTGATTATTATAGTCAATACTAATAAAATACATAAAATAGTTAAATTGTAATTTTGTTGTCGTTGTTTAATTGCAATTTTCATAAAAATGTATACTTAAGTAATGAATAATAATTTAAAATGTGATAAATTCTGTTTCAATAAGAATATACAGTATGGAAGGATACTGGTCTTAGTTTGGACCTTTGAAGTTAGGAATCGTAACTTTCTGATCAAAGTGACAATTGTTAACGAGTGATGAAAAACTTTGATACCTACCAAAAATGATTTAGACCCTGTTTATAAATCAATTAAAGAGCTATTTAATCTTTTGAAAAAATATGACCATGCTTTATAAATCTATTCAGGGGCACATTAAAGTTGTCTTTTTTCTTTTTAATAGTAAGTTACTTCATTTTGGTTTTTGCTTTGGCAAGTCACATGAAAAAAATGTATAAATCCGGGCTACTTTTTTTTACCTCTATAGTGTTTAGGTAATGTTTTTAGATTTTAAAATGTTACATACTATCATAAACATATATTTTGTTACATTCCCTCCCTCGCAAAATGTCAGGAAAGCATATGTCCCACTTGAACCTCACCACGCCACAATTATGCCACTGACAATAACTAAATATACTTCAGATTTAATTAGATATTTATTTTCATTTATACATTAATTTAACTAAAAAAACTGCGAGGGCTACAGGGCAATAGCATCTGTGTATTGAGTATCACTGGTATTCGCCACATGTCACGGAGTTGTACCAATTTTATATTATTTACCTGTGGGACTTGGTAGAACCTGTTGTTTTCCACATTTGAAAAGAATTCTATCTGTATATGAAGGTGTTCTTTGTTTAGCAGATGTATCAAACATTTCTGTTCCTGGATCATACTTATATGTTGGTGCAAATGTTAATGGGCCTTCTTGGAATCCACGAAATACCAAACCTATAATTAATAGAGATTTAACTCAATGTTAGTTATTTTTAGTAAAATATGTTACATCAAAAGTTGCTACCTCATACAAGGAAAATAGCAAAAAAAAGTTAATGAAAATGTGTTAGAAATATAATGAGTAATTTTAAAGATAAACATCTATAGTTCAAATTTGTTCACAATAGTTATAACTTATACCTCTTTAATTACTTTCCAATCATTTATGATACAAATTGTTTTCCTATGTTCTACATTTGAGAAGATGGTTATTATTGGTTTGAAGTTTTCAGAATAAATTATTTTTTATTTTTATACTTATTTATCTTGGTGTCATGCGGCATTTGAACTATTTTACATAGTTACTTTAATTCTACTTTTAAATGTTAAAATATTTTTAATTCAATTTATAGCAATAAGAATATGATATATGTAAATAAATTACTTTTAGTAATTAGATTTTTTAGAAAAGCTTAGCCTCTTTTTACCAATGTAGTACAATAATTTATAAACTTCATGTGTGCGGATATTATATTATAATTATTTGTATAATCAAAAAAAATTCTTAATTAACTAAACATAACTTTACTTACCATTTGAGATACAGTCATTTAGTTGATCTGAAAGTGTTTGATGCATAGGTGAAACCAAAGGAAATCTATGTTGTGTTACCCATTTCATGACTTCAGGTCGTGAATGTGCTAATCTGAAGTTTAGATCTCCGCACCAAAATACATAATCAAAATTATTAGTAACATCTAAAATAAAAAAAAAATTGTTGCATTGATATGATGGATGAATTAAGTTTAAGCAAATTCATGTACCTTTTGTTTTATGCTTAACAGGCAAAAGTTTTGGAAGTTCCAAAGATTTAATAATTCTACGCACATCTTGTAAACGTTCTTTAACTTTTTCAACATGTGCAGTAAGATGCGATGTTATAAATAATATTGATGACCCAAATAATGAAAACGAAATTGCAACAGCGCCTTTTGTTCGAAATGCAGTTCCTGGCCGAGTGCTAAAACTTGATTCTTCAGGAACTAAAAATAAATCGACACTTAATATTCTTAAAATCTTTAAGATAATGGATAATTAAGAATTCTCACCAGAGCAAAACCAAATTAAATCTCTTCGAATATAAATGGCTAAATGTAATGTGCCTAATGAAGCTGAATGAAAAAGAATGTGAGATGGACCAATAGTTTCTTGAATATTTACTTCCCATTCAAATTTATCAGGATAACTTTCTTGGGTACCTATAGCAAGAATATCTGGAAGATGAGGAACAGTGTCGGGGAGCAGTAGTTCATTTAATTCAGGTGGAGGCGCCTATAAAATTAATTTAATTACATCAAAACATAATAATAACAATAATAACTTCATTTTTACTTGGCCATTCATGTTCCATGTCCCAACATATATACGAACTTCTCGATTATGTAAGACTCGCTCCAATTCCATAGCTCCTAGTAAAGAATTTCCTGCAATACGTCCATGTAAATAGTTTCTGTGCAAAATAAAATAAATACATTTATGTATATAAATATTATATTAAATCAATTGATATGTTTTACCGTTCTTTAACATCAGATGTAGGAATAAGATGTAACACTTGTACTGCAAATAAAGCCTGTCTGGCTAAACTATCCATTGAGTTATTTTTAGTTTCAGTTTTTTTTAAATACTCTGATGCTGTCAAAGTAGTAGTAGATGATGGTCGAATTGGCTTTGAATCTGCTGTATTTATACTAGGGGTTTTTGGAATAATGATACTATCAGCAGACACATGTTGTGCATTGCTAAACATTTTCCGTAACCTGTCACATTTTTCCAAAGAAGGGGTTGATGGTTCATTTGATTCAGTATCTTTATATTCTGGATTTACACCGTTGGTAGATGAATGTAAGCCCAGGCTCAAAGACCGTTTATGAGAAGTATTGGGTTCCACGGTACAAGAACACACATCAGGTTCATTTGAGTTTTCTCCATTTTGGAAATCAGACGGTGTTTTAGTTGTCTCGGTAATTGCGCAACATAAAGAAACATTTGTACTTCTATTAAGTGGATTAGAAACATTACGATATGGACCATCTAGTTGATAAAATGTTGGTTTTGATGTATCAATTTCGGGCGTTGGTTTTTTTTTCCTTAAGTGTAGAATACTTAACAAGCTCGATTTTTTTTTAGGTGAAATATTTTGTTTATTCATTTTTATAACTCACAGGTCGGTCATAACAGTGGAGTCGAGATCAGTTTTCAGCCGTATTGAAAAAAAAATGCTTATAATAAAGTGACTAGGAAAACATTGTAACGTAATCATATTTCAATCATGCTAATAGAATGACTAAAATTCTTGTACGTTTAAAAACTAAAAAGCCAAAAGGTACTTAATACTTATATCTAATCTAAATTCTAAGTGGTTGGTCGTGCATAATTAAAAGTTTGGTTGTTTAGCTGATTAGTTCAGTAAAATTGATAGACGTAGGACAGTTGTCGTTTTATTTTTTTTCCTGATAAACTGATAAACTTTCTTACAGTAACCACGAACTGTTTTGTGGTTATGCAATCGTTATTTAAACACAAAACAATGATTGCAAATGTGCAACTTGCAACTTTCAGTTTTCACAGAATAGACGATCTAGACATGATATGAGATGTCTGTCAGTCGACTCAGTCCCTAGACATAAATGTACAGAATAAATTAGTATACATAATATATATTATATTCTCAATTCTGTTGGATACTGACTATTGACTACTAAGCATAGAGTATTTTCTAATTATTATTTGATGTTTCTACATTTAATGCATGATATAACTATACAATAATAAGTTAGTTGTATCATGATTGAATGAAAATTCTTCAAGTATTAATGTATTACGTTATGATATTGACTATAGAGCAGTGCGAAACATTTAAAGAAGTTATATAATTTATAGTATTTACCATTATTTATTTTTATTTGATATTTTCCTTTAGTAGTTAAGTGGTTAACCGCTTAACAATTAGTAATTACCTCCTGCATCATCAGTGTCTACTTATGTTGTGTGAAACGTACGTTTCTGTGGTCCATACGAAACTGCAGTTTTACAACTGTTCGCCAATATTGCTGTGCGCGACGCCAGTAGGAGAAAAATATAATAATAACCAGACAGAATAAGAACTGTTCGTTTAAAAAGGACATGTTATTAATCTCGGTTTTACTATTGCACTTTTCAAACTCTGAAAGCGTTTATTCACATAATATACAACAGTACAACACAACGTGTGCATCATGCTTGTAATATCGTATTCAAATTTCAATTATGAATAAATTTAAGAGTGCCTAAGTACCATATGAAAGCTCTAAGATGGGTAGACAACAGGAGCGTGTTTAGGAGGTTTTTGGGGTTTAAGCCGCCTTCAAATTTACTCTCTTAATTTATTGTATGAAATAAAAAACATATATTATACTTAAAAAATCAAAACCACAACCAATATAAAATCATGGGCACGCCCCCGGAGTCAACCTCGGTCAGAGGTACATAATAGATTCTGGTAATCTACATTTCTACCTAAAAGTTAGGTGAAAAATCCAATACTTGTTTGTGGTATGTAAACATAATAGGTACTATCATTATTTAAATTACAATTTAACTTGTACTTTACTTTGTTTAAGTATATATGTACTATACAGACAAATATTTTTGTTTACATTATTTTGTCTTTACATACAATTTTAAAATTCCTATCACATATTAAACTATTTTTGATAGATAATAGCTTTATTATCTAATACAATAAACATGTAAGTATTACTTTTTAGTTTAAATAAAACTTATTCATGGTTAAGAGGAGTTGACAACATTTGTAAAAAAAAGTTGGTATATTATGATTTATGAACTCATCACTTTCAACTCAAGCATTAGCTTAAAGAAGGTGTGCAAAGAATTAACATTAATGTTATATATATATAAGTATTATATGAATTGTTAGTTTATAAAATATACATATAATTATTATTATTATAAAGATTACACCGTTTCAGTGTACATTCTGATTTCTTTATTCTGTGGAACAACAACCACTGACAAGTGTTGTTACACATTATTTAATTATTGTACTAATATAATATATTTCTATACTTTTTTTTATACAAATGGATGTTTCTATAATATTGTTATATTGTAATGTTGAGGTTTGAGGATTAATCAGGCAGGAGAGACGATTGTCAAGTGAAAAATACAATTACACTGGTGTGGCTACATGTTAGTCTGCTGGGAGAGGGACTGTTAGATAGTTTTGGTGTGAGCATCCATTGTGTCTTTTGTTTAATTTTTGGGTTAATAACTTGTGAAATAAATAAAATACATTTAAAAATAAATACTTATAAAAGTTTATATTTAATCATCATTTATGTTTTAACAAAAATAACTTTCAATGGGCTCATTAACATATTTTTCCATTTGTTGAATAGCTTTCCGGGTTTTTTGTTCAATGTCTTCTTGTTCATCCTCCATCAATTCAGCTAAAAATGGTATTGAATCTGGAAGTAGTGGTAAGAAATTTTCTCCCAATCTCTCTGCCACAGCTAATGTAGTATCAATGCATATTGATCGAACTTCAGGCAAACGATGTCTAGCTTTAAGCATAATCTGACAATTTATATCCTTCCATAAGGTATCATCTGTTACGGCAGCTATTAAATTAGATATACATGGTATTACATAATTCTGACATATATTTTTGTAATCTTCCAATTCTACAGCTTCCAAAATATCAACTAGTGGGTTCATAATTATTTCAAAACGATCTTTAGTAGTAAAATTGATTGTATCATACTTGAAAACATTTGACAGTGTTGACACTATAGATTGAATAAGCAATGATTTTTCAATTTTAGTGTTGGACTTACATTGTGTTAAAATCGTATTAGCTGTTGGTATTAAATTTCCAGCAAATAAAAGATACAGGCCTTTAAGCTCACTAGATAAGGTATTTAATAATTTAAAATAGATTAACACACGAACTTCATTATTTATACCATTTTTCCATTCGTTTAATTTATGGTAAAATGTACGGAATGTAGATTCAGAACATTTTAATGCTACTTCACTTATCGCAGATATAACTGAACTCTCCACCATATTTGTTTTTATATTTTCGGATTCATGAGTAAAACAACAAAAATCTAGAGATTTTAACAGAAACGTTGTAAATTCTTCAGTCATGGAATTTTTAAAACTATTTTTTGCAATGTTTAACACATATTGGAATGCAGTAAATTTTAGGTTCCTTACAATTTCTACCAAAGTATTGCTTAATACTGGTTCTAAAATTCTTCCTGGTATTTCAGACAACTTTTCACCCAACTGTTGAAATTTAGTTTTTATTATAGATTTGTAATTATCATTTTCATCTGCTGAATTGTCATCACATGTAGCTGACAATAATGATAGTTCATAGATTAAAGGTACTAGATAAGGACTCAAAAAATTTTTTAGTTCTGATATTATTCTTAATAAACCAGTCAGTATACTTGGTAATAAAGCTCCATCAGCCATAACACTAATGTCATTCAATTTATGAAGAACAGATATTACTGTTGGTATTATTAACGCAAAACTTGAGATGGCTTTCGTTTTTAAGTTAGAAACCAGCTCCGCAATACATAGCACAAACGTTCCAAGTAATGGACCAACAGATACACCTTGCACAGATTTAGTAACTTTCTGAAGAATTCCCTTAAATACATCTACATTTTCATTAATATTTGAGCATTTTGTGACCAATGTAATAGAAATAAGAGCAGTTTGTTTAACATTCAAATCTTCTTTTGTATTTAAGCTAGACATATTGACTATTTCAGATAAAGGTTCAAGTAATTTTAGTGTTTGGTTTTGGGTTAACGACTTGGTTTCTAATAATCTTTTGTTCAGTAAATCCATAGTTCTGTGTTGTGTAGATTTGAGGTCGACAAATGTTAATATATAATTTATAGCATCAACAAATATATCCAATGGAAGTAAAGCATTTACTTTGTCTAAAATGCTATAATATTTGATAGGCATAAAGTTTTTTGAACTGTTATTACCTTGACGTTGTACAAACCATAAAGTATTTTTAATGACTTCAGTGAAACCTTCTTTTAATGTATCATTAGTTGTACAATACATAACTTTGGACACAAATATATATGATGATAGTAGGTTGGTAATAAAAGATACCAAACAATATTTTAACTTATGTAATTTGTTTACAGAATAGTTAGAAATGTCAATCAATGTTTCTTGGTCAGGTTCTCCTTTTTTAAGTTCTATAAATTTACAGTAATTTAAAATATTGTTACACATATCAAGTAAAACATTTATTGGGCATTCAGCACAGATATCTAAACAAATAGTATTACTAGACACTTTATTTTTAGTATCGATTGTACCAGATATGTATTCTTTATGTACAAGTACAATTAGTTCCCATAAATAACTGTTGGTATTCAAAGCTTGAACAAGGTATCTCAATAATGTTCCTCGTCTATGTTCAGGTATATCCAAAATACTTCGAGCAAATACTGATAATGCTTTTCTAGTCACAATTTGGCCTTCCTTTAATAAAATAGGAATTATGGTATTAAGCACTTGACACGTTATTTTAAATGTATACTCATCATCTTGGCGCATGACAGAATTACCCATAAAAGTGAATATAGTCATTACGTGTAAAATAATTTGGTCTGGTACCATTTGAGCACAGTTCGACAAGAGAATCAATGCATGATGTTGAGTTTGTTGATTTGGAGATAAACGCATGGTTGAGACAATTAACTCAAGGTTAAGATGTTCAGAAACTTTAGATTTTTCTGTTTCATTTTTAGTCATTGTACAGCAATTTAGTATACAACTTAAACACAATTGTTTAGTGTATTCAAGTAAACTAGACTGATCTTCAAACTCTAAGCATTTTTTTAGTATATGAAATAAAACTGGAGTCAATCTAGTAACATTTTCTAAACTGTTTTTATTTTGAATTAATTCTAATAAAGCAATTCCATTTTTCCATAACACACTGTTGGGTGAATCATCATACATTTTTTCAAGGTGAGAAATGAACATTATACTGTCAAAACTAACTTCATGAATAAAACTTTTAATGGAGTCTATGATATCATTATCTTCAACTTTTGCTTGTAAATCAAGTAGAGTCTTTATTAGGTTCAATTTCAAATCATCAGACATAGTGTTAAACATTTCTGTTGTTAGGCTTTGAACAAAAATTGTGACTGGACATATCAATTTTCCAGTTCCAAAATTTAATACAGGAGTTGTTTCCTTTAAGTATTTTTCACATACAGGCCAAATGCTAAACCAATCTATGACACTGGGATGCAGTTTGTTGAGAGCAAATTTAAAAATATGTGATTCAGCTATATCAATTTGTGTTTTTTGTAATAGTTCAAGACCATGAGTCATAACACTTAGACACACATTTGATGAATTGAGCGCCGACAAAACATCAAATATTTTTAATCGTAATGCAGAAGATACATCAAAATTGCACGCGGTTTTAAATAGCATTTCCAAAGTATTTTTAGCATCAATGTTTTCAGTTTGTAATGCAATCATTAAAACAAGGCGAATTTGATCACCATCTACTAGAATATTTTGACGTTTACTAATGATATTTTTTATTAACCAAATATAAGATGAAGAGTTTGTGTCTTTGTAGGTTTTATTCAACTTTTTGAGGAAAGTCATGGTTGTTCTTCTAATATGTTGTGTATCAGAAGCCAAACAACATAAT